GGGGGGCGGGTCACAGGAATCAGCAAAGGTCCCTTTCAAGTCTAGGAGCTGATGAACTCTGTTATTGTCCAAATTCTTTAGGGGGCACAGGGAAAACTAGCTTCCTCCTGAGCGTGAAAGCAGCCTGGGGCATCTGCGTCGTCTTCCCGTCTTCCCGGTGGAGTCTGTTCGCTGGCTCACATCATGCTTGATGGCCGTGAGGATGGACAGATGTCCTGCTGTCTGCAGGCAGAAACCACACCAGGTCTTCGGAAGAGCGAGACAGGCGGACACACGGCACATACGCATGACATTAGCAATGCCTTCTCCCTCTGGGCTGAAGGGGCATAAAAAGCTCAACATGACAGAGCTCTGAGCTGAAACACCTAAAACGCAAACACTATGCTTTACGCAAGATCTACACACAAAGTGGAATGTGACGGACACCCAGGAGCTCAGAAGAGAGAGTGCTCTGGCCAAGAGAAAGAGAGAAGGCCGGGGAAGAGGTGGCCGTGAGCTTGGGCTGGCAGACAGGCCGTCCTTTCCAGAACGTTCTGGGAGTGGTGGGCGGCATGTCTCACTGAGACAAACATCGGATGTTGGGCAGAGCTCTATTTTGAATTGCAGCTCTCCTGCTCAGTATTTCTGGATCTCAGGCAGGTTCCTTACATCCCTGTGCCTCCACTCCATCAGCCTCACAATGGGGACCACGACTGTCCCTGTCCTGGAACAAGAGAATCCCCGAGAACACCGGCCAGGGTCCCAAGACTGTCCTTTTCACATCAACATGACCGCCCTCTCCTCCTTGCCCTCACCATCTCCACCAGGCTCTTTCAGAGGGGCGTGCAGGCTCTGCCTGGCCCTCGGCCCCCACGTCCTGCTTTGAGCCCGCTGTTTCTAGCTCTCCCTATGGGAGATTCTTTCCCATCAGTTGGTCTCAGCTGAAATAGTACCTCCCGCCAAGAGGCCTTTCCAGGGAGCCCCGCCCCCTGTATTCCACTATTCTGTTTTTTTGTTCACAGCAGGTCTCGGTCCTGAAATCATGTATTTATACTCACTGCCTTGTGTTTTTATTATGTCTTCCCCTCACTGCCTGTACGCTTCACGGAGATATTCTGCCTCTTGCTCACCACGGCTCAGTACCCAGCACAGCAGGCACACGGCAGGCCCTCAACAAGTGCTGCCCTTCCCTGCAGACACGGACGCTGGCCTCTGATGACCCTAGTGAGGTTGGAGGGCTGTGAGGAAGAACGAGAAGCCAACCTGGCTCAAGGCTGCAGTCCTGAGCTCCCAGGAGCACCACGGCCAGGCCTAGAAATGGGGACTGAGGAGTCAGTGCGCCTGCTGAGGGCCGAGAAGATGAACTCGGAAAGAGGCCCACCGAACGTGAGCTCCGTGGGCAGCACAGACAGAGGGTGTCTGCAAGCTGGGGCCGAGGGCAGACGTGGGCAGTGTTCACTAGTCCGCCAGTCACCTACCGAGCTCAACATTATGTAAGATCCACAGCAGGGTCTCAGAATAGGAAGCCGGATGAAGCAGGGTCTCAGAGGTGGGTGGGCTAGAGGTGGTGACCTGGGGGGCACTTTCACGGAGGTACCGAGTTTCTAGGTATACTGAAGCCACTGAGAGAGAGACAGAGAACAGAGGAAAGAGAGAAAAGACTCTCCAAGGAAGAGCCAGGGTACAGACAAGCAGCACATGGCAGAGACAGAGGGAAGGTCTCAGAGCAGTGGCAAAGAAGCACAAACACTCAGTAAATACGACTGATGGACAAATTAATGGAGGAAGAAATCCAGATTCCCTGCCTTTGTTCACAGAGTTCCTCTGTGTGTTCCCTCCAGCGCACCTCCTTCCTGGATTCTCTGCTTAACATTTATTTGTCATCTTTGGAAGCTTCTCCTGATCCTCCCAATCAGAGTTCCCATAACACCCGGGACTCACAATGTGCGTGTATCACCTGGATGATCTTCCCTGTCTATTTGTCTACACCATTAAATTGTGAGATTGTGAGACACTTGAGAGCAAGGACTATGTCTTTATTTTTAAATTCTGTATCTCCCTTTCCAGGTCTGTGTTGGTGCTCAACACAAGTTTGTTGGGTGGATGGATGGTAAATGGGTGGGTGGATGGCTGGTAGACGGGTGGGTGGATAGATGGTAGACAGGTGGGTGGATGGATGGTAGATGGGTGGGTGGATGGATGGTAGATGGGTGGGTGGATAGATGGTAAACAGGTGGGTGGATGGATGGTAGATGGGTGGGTGGATGGAGGGTAGATGGGTGGGTGGTTGGATGGTAAATAGGTGGGTGGGTGGATGGTAAATGGGTGGGTGGATGGATGGTAGATGGGTGGGTGGATGGATGGTAAACGGGTGGGTGGATGGATGGTAAACGGGTGCGTGGATGGATGGTAAACGGGTGGGTGGATGGATGGTAAACGGGTGTGTGGATGGATGGTAAATGGGTGGGTGGATGGATGGTAGATGGGTGGGTGGATGGATGATAGATGGGTGCGTGAATGGATGGTAAACGGGTGCGTGGATGGATGGTAAACTGGTGGGTGGATGGATGGTAAACGGGTGGGTGGATGGATGGTAAATGGGTGCATGGATGAATGGTAAATGGGTGGGTGGATGGATGGTAGATGGGTGGGTGGATGGATGGTAAATGGGTGCGTGGATGGATGGTAAATGGGTGCGTGGATGGATGGTAAATGGGTGCGTGGATGGATGGATGCATAAATAAGCAGGTAGGTGAACCAGTAGACGAGTGGGTAGGTGAATGGATGGATAATGATGGACAGATAAACAGGTAGGAGGATGGATGGATAGATGGCTGATGGATGGTAGATGGATGGATGGATGGATGGATGGATGAACTGGTAAATGGTTGAACAACTCAAAATTTCTTGGGGCCAGGTATATAGCTCAGCAGCACAGCACCTGCCTGGCAAGTGCAAGGTCCTGAGTTCGATTTCCAGTATCCCCCTGCCCCCCATAAAAAACTCTTACCTTGCAACCAGGTTCTTCAGATGATTGCACAGAGACTCAATATACTGGGTACCTTTCTCCGCGTGCTGAAAGGACACATAGCCAGGGAGAGTAGCCAGACTGAGCAAGAAATCTGCCTCATCTGGAATACTACTGTGGAGGGAAGGGGACACACCCTCAGGATTCACAGCATCAGCAGCTGCTTCAGTGAGCACGGAAGGGTGCTCCGCTTCACCTTGACAGGCCTGGATGAAAAAGAGCTTCGGTTTATGAGCCAGCCCCCGACACTGCCGGGCTGTGAAGTGAGACGTGATCTCCCGGAGGGGGACAAAGACCCTGTCTGAGGAGTAGACACCCCCAAACTCTCCACGGGTCAGAATGCAGAACACAAAGCAGTCCCCGTCAGCATGGCCCAGGTGACTCCTCTGCTCCCACAGAATCCTCTGCGTGCCTTGGTTAGTCACATCCTCGTGCAAGTGCCCGGTGAAGCCAGCCACTGGAACACACGCCTCAGGGACTCCGAAGGGAGGGAGAGAGCGGGACACGGACACGAGAGAAGCACAGTCAGTGAAGCCAGGAATCAGCGCTAACGGTAAAAACTGCACTGCGAGTAGCTTAGAGCTTTGAACTTTCTACTTTCATAATAAAATCATACAATTCACCTGCCTTCTCTTAAAGCCAAAGTAGCATCACAGCCATCCTAGGAGTCAGCAGCCACCTGTGTTTTGGCCCATTTCACAGACAAGGGAGCCAAGGTCCTCTGACTCCTCAGGGCCACAGAACCAGAGAGGAGCAGGACAAGAGCTCAGGCCCTGTTGTCCAAGGCTGCCCAGCACGGCCGCCTCCAGCCACAGCACTGTGAGCAGTCAGGGACTCTGGTCACTTAGCAGACGGGCGTCTCCTCAAGGACACACACGAGGCCCTGAAACATTTACGACACTGCCCTCACCCTCTGCGTAGGAGCCAAAGGTGCAGAAAGGAACCGTGAGAATGAAAGAGGGCTTTCAGACCCGCCAGCCTGTGACGCGCCACTGCACTCACCAGCATCCGTGTGTGTCCCCGTTCTCACGCAGTCCCTTCACGCAGAAGTTGCTGATGATGACACGGTGCCCCTGTGCTTCCGGCCCATCCTGTACACACCTCCCTCCTTGACGGGGGGACAGGACTCCTTAGTCGGGATCTCCACTAGGGCAGTAGCTGTTTCTACCCTGCTACTCCAGTGGGTCCACTCTAAGAGAAGTCACCCCCCAACCCTCTGTACTGGGACTGAACCCAGGGCCTCCCAGGCAAGCTGCTACCACTGAATTACAGCTTAGCCCTTTTTAAATTTTGAAACAGTCTCACTAAATTGCCAGGCTGATCTTAAACTTGCAGTGCTTCAGCCTCAGCCTCACAAGTGGTTGGATCACAGGCACGTACCACCAGGTTGGGGTGTATCGCTTAATGCCCATTTCTAACCCACGGTGTTCCCTGGTTGTCTGTTGTTAGAGAATGGGCCTTGCCATGTTCCCAGGCTGGGCTCTAACTCCTGATCCTCTAGCCTCAGCCTCTCAAGTAGCTGGGATTATACTGTAGTCTAAACTCCTCGGGGCTGCGGGTATAGCTCAGTGATAATGCATGTGGTAGCATGCACGAGGCCCTAGGTTCAGAAGAAAACACAAGTAAATAAACCACAAGCCACTAGAAATAATCGTGTCATGCAGTTCCCAAAGTTACAATGCTTCTGAGTGCTCTGCACTCGGTTTTGCGGCTGCTATATCATCTAAATTTAGTGTCCAAGGTTCAAGTCCCAGTGAGGCAGAAACGAGGCCCACCCCTTCCCTTTTCCCAAAGGCCGCGATCCAGCTGAACGCTCCTGCCTCAGCTGCCGAGCCCTGCCACTTCTGACCAGCTGCTAGAAGACTGTGGGGAGACACACGGGCCTTCTGCTGATGTCCCCCAAGTCCTCAAACCCCAAGGGGCCAGGCGCGGCAGGGCAGCCCCAGGGACTCCTGGAAACCATGCAGTTGTGACTTTAGCCCTGCTGTGTTCCTGGGAGCAGAACTGTCCATCAAACTGAGCATCTCCCCAAGTTTGGTTCTGAGGTGCTGTCACCATAGCCACGGCTGAGGTGTGTCAGGGGACAGTGGCCTGGGCCACGGCAGGCTTGAACATGGGCTCATCCCACGTGACTGCTCCACTCTGCAGCTCCAGGTGGCCCTGGCCCTGGCCCACCTCCCAAAGTCTCCAAGAAAACCCACCTGCTGACCGTCCTGCTCTGTGTCACCCTCCTGAGGTCAGGCCACCCCCTGAGCTGCAGCACAGGTGCAGGAAGCCTCACTGCAAAGGTGCTAGCACCTACTCATGGCCCTGACCTCGGGTAGAGAGGGTGGAGTAGGCTGTCCTAAAAGGTACCTGCAACGTCAAGGTGACGAACAGTTCTGCAGACAGGGAGACCAAGGGCTGTGCAGACGTGCTTGGCCATGGTGGCAGAGGCCAGCGGAGTGGTGCTGTAGGTTTTGGGGGCTGTGCCCAAGACCCAGAACAGGGCCGAGAGCACCAGGGAGGCTGGAAGGGCTCTGAGCCTGAGCCGTCAAGGGCTGCTGGCACACCAGGAGCTACGGAGTGCTGTCACACTGAGGGCCGTGACACCAAGGGCACCGTGAGCCAAGAGTCTCTGGCAGCAAGGGAAGGAAGCCACCAGCGCTCAGAGTCCAGAACAACTAACACTGAGGGAGCAGCACTTTGCCAACCTAGGATTTCTCCCTGAATTGAGTAAAGGAACCCCGAGCTCATCAGTGACAGTACAGCCAGGTCAAAGGAGAAGCAACCTTTGCAGGAAAGTCAGCCGGGTCTTCTCTTGCAGGACCTACTCCGAGTGCCAGAGGCCAAGAGTCCTCAAGATCCTGGCCCTGGTTTGGAATGAATGGATTCATTCCAAGGCAGAGTGCCAGATACTCATGAAAAGACGGAGCCAACCTGGTTTCAGTGGAGAATCTCAATTTCCAGAGTTAAAAAACAAACTATGTATGTTTAAAATTGACAAAGCCAGGGTATACACAAAAGCATCTTCCCTTTCACATTAGAAATGAGAAAAAAGGTTAAACAAAGATTTACCAAGATAACAAAAGCACCAAGTGATATCTATTTGGTGTATTCAGATACATCGAAGAATGTATACATTTAGATGGCAGGGTTCTGGACTGATCTGATTCCTCTGGAAACTGAGACATTGCTTTTCTAACTTTATTTCTCAATAGAAACAATATAAATCCCAGTGGGAATTTTTAACTACATGGAATCATTTAAGGCAATTGTGTATGTGTTTCTGTGTGTGTGTGTGTGTGTGTGTGTGTGTGTGTGTGTGTGTGCGTTTAGAGAGAGAGAGACAGAGACACAGAGACAGAGACAGAGTCAGAGACAGAGAGATCACAAAACATGGTGTGAAACATCAGTAGAAGGTAGGAGAATGGTGTAAACAGCTTCCGGGTTGTTTGAATTATTCACATTCTCTCAAATTTTCTGTAAGATTGAAATTATTTCCATGTTTTAATATTCTAAGTGTAAAAATATGAAAATAGTGAAGGAACTGTAACAGACTTTTTGAATAATAAAAAATAAAACCGCTACCAACAACCCAGTGAGAAGATGGCCTCAGGTCTGGAGTGAACACTCTCCAAAGCAGACTCACATATGGCCAAAAGCACACGCAGACACCCAGCACCGGAGGAGGACCGCAGTTATTTTTATTGGGTACAAAGTTTCCCTTGGGAAGATGAAAAAGTTCTGGAGATGTTGGTAAACTTTATGTGTGTTTCATCATAATTAAACATTTTAAATGGTTAAGATGGTAAACTGTACGTGTTGTGTGCATTTTGCCACAAAACAATTAAAGGTTAAAATGGTTAATTGTGTTATATGTATTTTATCAATTTTAAACAAAATTAAAATAAAAAATTTTACTAAACCAAACATTGAGATGTTGGCAAAATGGAGACACCTGAGTAGGCTGCATAGGGGCAGGTGCGAGGGAAGAGGCCGCGGCCCCGGCTCACAGCCGCGGGTGGGACAGTGAGTCCCCGCCATGCTCCCTCAACCCGCCCTTGCCTGGAGAGCACTACAGAGGCCAGGAGCTCATCCTCAGCTGCATGGCCTGCACCCTTGTTACGACAGCAGAGCGCGGCCCAAACCTTGGGCCCTGTGCAGCCCTGTGGCCAGCTCACTCATGCAGCCAAGCTGATCTCAGCCCACATCAGAGTGGCCCAGGGGAAATCTCTCAGTCTCTCTCTCCCTCCCTCCCTCCCTCCCCGCCTTTCCCTTCCTCCCTTCCTCATCTTTCTGTTTTGAAGATTGAGGGTGGAAGGTAGAGTCAGTGGTTGAGTGTTGACCAGCATATTCCTGAGCCTACCTGAAGGAATTGTTTAACACCTGATTGGAGCCAGGCGTGGTGGTGCACGCCTGTAATCCCAGCACTCGGGAGGCTGAGGCAGGAGGATTGTTGCGAATTCGAGACCAGCCTGGGCTACAAAGTGAGCTCAAGGTCAGCCTGAACTGCTTGGCGAGACCCTGTCTCAAAAAAGACAAAACAAACAAACAAACAAAAAAAACCACCTAATTGGGAAAACACTTCTTCCTCTCCTTGATGCAGGGACTTCGTCGCCCTGTCTGTAGGAGATGGCGCTTCCTGGGCAGCTGGAAATAAAATCACAGAGAGGAAAACAAAATCACCTCTGGCTTGCAGTGACCCAAGACAGAAATCTTCAAAAGCAGCCATCAAAAGTAACTGGAGGCTTGTGAGCTTTGCTCACAGATGTCCGCACACACACCCAGGCAAAGGTGAATTTATAAATGTTTTGTTATTGTTATATGCCGTCTTATGTTCTTGTCTTGTTATGTTATGTTTATAATTTTACTAATTCCCTAAAATCACTATGCACTCTACCAAGTACTATCTCGGGAGTTATGGTGCTTAATTAATATGCCAGGTAATAGCCAAATAAAGATCCCAAAAACATTACTTTGAAAATGACTATCAGGACTCAAACTGATATAATAGCAACACAAAAAAGAAAGAAGAAAAAAGAAAGCCCAAGTTCGATTCCCGGTACCAAAAAAAAAGAAAAATAAACAAAAGGTATTTACATAAGAAAAGCAATACATAAAGGTCAATAGCATTCCTGTATTTCAACAGTGAACCCATTGAGAAAGAAATCAAGAGAACAATTTTATTCATAATAGTTTCAAAAAATTAAAAATGAAAGATGTATATGTAAACTATGTCTAATTCTGAGCAACAAGAGCAAAGCAGGAATCATCACAATCCCATATTTCAAGTTATATTACAAACCCATAGTGATAAAAACACCATAGCACTGGCACAAAAACAGACATGAGGGTCAAGGGAATATTTTAATATATTAGTATAATCCTTCTTGGAGCCTTGAGTGTCACTGTACATCTCAGGTGAAACGCTCTCTTTTCTTATAGACATGGGGGCCACACACAGTGTTCTTCCTGAGTTTTCAGGGGCCCTCTGCTGATATCCCCCAAGTCCTCAAACCCCAAGGGGCCAGGCGCAGCAGTAAACCCCAGGGACTCCTAGAAACCATGCAGTTGTGACTTTAGCCCTGCTGTGTTCCTGGGAGCAGAGCTGTCCATCAAACTGATGGACAGCCCTTTAAATCTAAAAATATAAAAACTCCTTCTCCCTCTCTATCTCTTTCTCTAGCCCTTTAAATCTAAAAATATAAAAACACTATTAAAAGAAAAAAGGTCAAAGCAGGTGACAGAGTGCGTGAAAACGACTAAGGTAAAAGCTACGTAAAGAAAGGAACATGAAAGTTGCTGGTATTCATAAGACAAAATAAAGTACTAAATATATATTAGTTATAGATAAAAAGTTTTAATTTTTCCAAATTCTTCTTATGAGATCTGTGCTAACTGACCTACAAACGATAAAAATAAAAATTCTGACTAGCCTTTATAATTACAAACTTGAAACATTGTTTAAAATTATTATAATTCAAGTTGACCAAAAATATGTTTGAGTGCAGTCTGATTTTATAAGCAAATTGTCTTGTGTGTGTGTTTTTGTTTGTCTCTGTCCAATCTGTAAACAGCTATTTTATTTGAGCTGAATAAATCTTTTTTTGTGTATTTTTTGTTTGT